ATATTTTCCTTGAGATTATAAATCATTTCTGAATATAAATAAATCGGAAATTCTCATTTTTAACTTGACCGTTAAAATAATAATAATAATAATAATAATAATAAATAAAAAAAAATATAAACCATCTCTCTCTTCTTTTTTTTTAACAAAATCATCCCCTTTTTTTTTAACAATAAATTGCTTCAGCAAGGAGCAAAGAAAGAAAACCAAAATTTCCAACATATGTTTCAAATAATGATAGGTAGCATGAGATAGATAAGCATGAGCCAACATCCATGTAGAACATGAGTTGTAAAGGCCTTTGATCACTCATTCTAATATGCATTTCTAGAGGGGCAAATCTCTTTTCAAAACTAGCATTATGGCATTTCCAAATATCTCAAGCAAGAAAAATAAAGGCAGCCTATACATGCTCTATTCAGATTTTTCTAGGAAATATTCATGCTTAAATTTCAAAAAAAACAAACCCGAATCTTGCTTTCACATGCTTTAAAAGAGACGAGAAATATTTTTATGCCATCCAAAATAGTGCAAAATAGAGGAAAGGAGAAGAATACCTCTTTTCAGCGTATTTAAAATAAAATTGAAATATAATTTCAAGGAGACCACTCCAAAAGAAATGTCCCTCCTAAAGGCTTCAAGAAACAACAATCACAAATGCTCCACGTCACAAGCACCCGAAAATGTAGCTTAAAGAGGATTTTCGGCAAAGTAAACAGCACTCCACGAACACTCCACACTCCAATCACATGAGAATCAAATTTAGAGAAGATTTTAGCAGAGTTTTCTTCCCTAATAGCCTCTCACAGTAAGAATACAGCCTCTCCTTTTTCTCCAAAAATTTTCAACAATCCTCAAGCCACAGAGGATGAAAAGAACAAGTAAGAATGAAGTTAGAGGAGATTTTGGCAGCTCCTCCCCTCTCTCAGAATTTCGGCCAACCTCTAAACCTTCCCCAAGTGGGATTTTAAAGCAAAGAAAAGAGGAAGGAGAAGCCACCTACCAGCCTCCCTAGCCAACGAATCACAAAGAAGAAATGAAACGAGACCATGAAGAGGAGAGCGCTCGGCCTCAAGGAAGAGAAGCGTCGGCCAGGTGGAAACTCTCGATTGGAGACTCGCTCGGTCAAGCAGAGATCGAAGAGGCTGTGTGCGTATGCAAATCGACAATGGAATGCCGCGTGTGAGGAGGCGAGTCGTCTCATGCGCGAATGGCAGAGGAGA